AGGTTTCTGCCATTGGTGGTAAGTGCTTGCAAGAAAGAGAGAAAGTGAGAAATCACCTCCTGGGGGATGTCCATGGCACAATCATTTCTCTTCATTCTCCTCTTGGGATTTTGGGCATGCAGGTGCTCACATCCCAGATAATTTTCAAGCTTTCAGATTCAGGAATCAAACCGCGGTCAGTCATGTGGAAATCCAGTGCCTTCAGCACAGCACCTACTGGCCCCTCCTGAAACAATTTTTTTTTTTTTTAATGTTCAATTTCAGAACACTGGTTACCTTAATTAGATTTTTAATACTGCAGGAACTGAGATTATTTCTATTTTTCTCACCATAGCAGACACTCAACAGCTGCTGAATAAATAAAATGAATGGGTGGCCATAAATAAATGACTAATCCTAAAATAACAAAGCCTAGGTTTTAAGTATTATAGTATGCTATTTCACGGATTTTCCTAAGACTTAAAAACATGCTCTGGAAGTGAAATTCTTTGCTTTCACAGGAGTGAAGGAATTTTTCCTCTCCCTTTAAAGATTTGCTGAAAATCATTGATGATAGGCAAACTAATAAGGAAAAAAAGTATATAAATTTTACTTAATGTCTACATATGTACACAAGAGCCAACGAAAATACTAAGTCAAAGAGGGGCCCAATGGCTAAACTTCACAGAAGAGAGGAAAATGGGGGAATAAATGGGTCCAGTGCTTAGACAATGGTTAGTAAATTATTCTTTTTGGGAATTGGATGGGATCAACAAGTTACTGAAAGGTGAGGGGGCAAGGGGCTAAACAGCACAGGAACTAACATTGCCTTATGATGTAGATGAAGTTTCTTTCTTTTTTTTTAAGAACTGTTTTATTTAACTTTATTATTTATTTATTTACTTATTTATTTCAATTTGACCAGAGAGGGACAGAGCGGGGCGTGGGGGTGGGTGGGGGGAATGAGAAAGCAAGCCACAAGTTCTGGGACTCAAACTGTGTTGGTCATGGGAGAGTCCAGCGCCCTTAACACACCATGCCACCTGCTGGTCCTTAGTTGCCTTCAGAAGAATAGATGAAAAGTCTGTTCGGTGTAATGATTTTAGTCTCTTCTCTGGGTTAATCTTTCCTGGTTATTTGATGAGATTTCTAGAGAGGGGATTTAAGACAATTCTAGTTGTTAGACTGAAATGTCCTCAGTCAGGTAAGTAAATTCTGGTCAGCACACGTACCTTTGGCAATTTTTTTTTTTGAACTTCTAAACATATTTTTCTTTCTCTTAATTTACCAGAGGATCCATGTGCTTATCAGATGGAGACAGAGAAAGAAAGGAAAAGCAAGATAGCACACCTCCCTCTTGGGGAATGGTCAGATGGTAACTCCTTCTCCTCTACCTCTCCCTCCTTCCAGGATTTGGGACACACATGCACGTGTGCTGGTGAGTTTCTCAAGCCACCATGTCCAGGACTTCAGCCTCACGGTCAGTCACATGGGATCCAGTCGCCTTAACCACCATGACACCCTCGAATGGCTCAAGTTTTAATATGAGTATTCTGACGATTGTAGTAAGACTAGACAGGAGGACAGAAGAAAAGAACTACTGATGCCAGTAGGCCAGGAAGCGATGGTGGTGACCAGCACCAGGATGGAAGCTGCAGGGGTAGTGGGATGTCACTGGAATCTAGGCATGTTTGAAGAAGAGGCCAACGTGATTTGTTTAACAAAGCAGATAAAAACCATTGAGGGGAAAAATAAAGCTATGAAGATAATTCCTGGATTTCTGACTCTATGGTCCTGTGGAGAAATGAATACTGGTTCTGTTAAAGGTTGACTTGTCAAGATTTCAAGATGTGTTATAGTATTACTTTCCAGTTCAAGACAGAAGATAAGCTGTAACATACAAAGCAGTATTAATATCTTCTGAACAATGTATAACAGTGTAACTCTCTAAACCAGAGAGCAGGTCCCTTTAGGCTTCTGCTCCAACTGGTTAGAAATTTGTCTAACAAGTTGGTGAAGCAGTTGCAATGATATCAAGAAACTTTCAATGACAAACAGAGAATAATTCAATGTTTCAACCAGATTACAAGAATTTTCATGACCAATTTAAATTTCCATCACCATATAAAGTCCAGGGGGCATGGGAAAAACGACGACATGCAGGGCACACATGTATATGTACCAAAAATCATGACAGGATGAAGAAATAAAGGATAGGGACAGCAGTTAGCGTAATGGCTATGTCACTGGACTCCCATGTAGTTGACCGCGGATCGAGTCCCAGACCCGGTGGTGTAAACTCACACTGGGCATGTGAGAGGAGAATGGAGGAGAAGGGATTGTAGTGTGGCCATCCCCCGGGGGGGTGACTTCTTGCTTTCTATCTCCCTGTTTCTCTCTCTCTCTGGCAAGCGCACGTGCCCTATAGCAAAAAACTCTCAAATAAATAAATAAATAAATAAATAAACAAACAAATAAAGGATAAAGGATTGTGGCATGACCACATCACATTGAGGGGGTCTCTCTCTCTCTGCTATGTGTGTCTGTGCCCTCCAGCAATAATACATGAATAAGTTTACATAGATCTTTTGATTAGTATTGCATCTTATTTCAGGGAGCCTCATTTATACTCAACATAAATCTTTTTTTTTTCTTTTTTTTTGGAGAGGTTTTTGCTATTGTGCACATATGCTCGCCAGAAAGACAGAGAGAGACAAAGAGATAGAAAGCGAGAAATCACCCCCCAGGGGGGATGACCACGCCGCAATCCGTTTTCCTCCTTTCTGCTCTCCGGATCTTGGGCACGCACGCACACACAGCAGGTGTGAGTTTAAGCCACCGAATCCGGGACTCGAACCGCGGTTAACTACATGGGAGGCCAGGGATATAGCCATTACGTTAACTGCTGGTCCCTCAACATAAATCTTAAAAGCAACTTAGAATAAGGGAAATTAGGTTTTGGGAAATACATTGGAGAAAATGCATACGAGAAAAGATGTATTTTTGTTGCTGTTCTAGAACTGCAGGCGATCAAGGCTGACTTTCCTCAACCAGTCTTGTACACGAATTACTTGTCTGGGTGTGGTGACGCAGCTGTTCCATAATAATTGTAATCATGTATCATCACTCTTCCTTTGGACTCTGTATTAAAGAGCACTGCCTGACTGTCGAACTCTTCTTAGTGTGTCTCTTTTTTTTTTTTTTTCAGAACCAAAACATCTAAAAAAGGAATTATACAAAAGTTGTAGGAATATGTTCTGAATCACCTTGACAATAGCCACATGGTTAAGAATAGATGTGATTGTCACCGTTGGGAGTCCAGCAGTGCCGTTTACCTCACCTGAGGTGCTACGTTTCCCCATCTTTTAAATGGGGACATTTTTCCTGCAATGTTGTGAGGAGTAAATAAGTATTTATAAAGCCCTCAACACAGTGCTTGGCAATAAGTAGTACTTTGTGTATATTACTATTGTGAGACCATTGCCTCATAGAAACTCATGGACTTACATTTTTATGCTATACAAAAGAAAAGGAATGAAAACTCACGTATCCCCAATGCTTCCAGATGTTATTGCTTGGTGCTTTCAAAGCAATTAAAACACTGCAGGTGGTGAGACAGGTAAGAGTTCTGTTTGTTTGTTTGTTTTGTTTCTAAAGTAAGCAGGGTTGTTTGCTAGTTCCAGGTATGGATATATTCTTCAGTTCAAATACTAGCAGAGTGTGTGATGGTTAAGGCACTGGTCTCCCACTGGGCTAATGACTCTTTGAATCCCAGAAAACTTGAAAATAGCTGGGTGCCCCCACGAGAGCACCTAAAATCCCAAAAGGAGAGAGGCCAGCAGGCCATGTAGTGATTAAGGTGCTGGATTCTCACATGGTCTTTGGCGGTTGGAGTCCTGGACTCAGCAGCTAGAAACCTGAAACACATGGCATGTGGGTTGTGCCCAGAATCCTGAGAGGAGAATGGGAAAGGGATTGTGGCAGAGCTTCCCTCCACCCCCAGGGAGGGGTGATTTCTCACTTTCTCTCCGTCTTTCCCTCAAGATCCCCCACTCCCTGCGCCCTATAGTAAAACAAAACAAAACAAACTCTCTTTAAAAATAATCCCAGGGAGAAGGCCCTGTGATTTCTCACTTTCTCCCTCAGTGTCCCTCTTCGTCATTACCCTACAGCAAAAACTTGGGAGAAAAAAAAAAGGCCTCCAGTTTGACTGTCCTTGATCAATTGCCATTACATACGTTCTTCAAAGCACACTTATTTTTTGCCTTCCACAATCTAAGAAAAATCAGAGTATTTCTACCGACCACCATAAAACCTGGGTGAACAGTAGGTGCTTAAATGATGGCATTTCTTCTTTATTTTTTGGAGAGGGTTTTGCTACAGGGTGCGTGCACTCACCAGAAAGAGAGTGGCAGAGAGACAGAAAGCGAGAAATCCCCCCCCCCCCGGGGGGATGGTCACGCCGCAATCCCTTCTCCTCCATTCTCCTCTCGGGATCTTGGGCACGCACGCACACGCGCCCGGTGTGAGTTTAAGCCACCAGGTCCGGGACGCGAACCGCGGTCAACTACGTGGGAGTCCAGAGACAGCCATTACGCTAACTGCTGGTCCCTAAATGATGGCATCTTCTATAGAGTGGGCAACTAAGACCTCATGACCAGATAAGTCGCTCGGAATGATCAAAACCAGCAGTAGCGCTGGGGAAGAAACATCAGTCAGGCTTAACTCCCCTAGGCGGTGGCCCAGGAGCACCTGCGGCCAAACCTGGCCCCGCGCGCACGGGGCAGCGCACCGCGCCCGGCAGCCGGCTTCGCGCACTCCGGACCGCAGGAGGCAGGACTCCCCACGCTTCCCGAGCTCTCAGCGCGCACAGCC